GTAGTTTAATAATTATTTATTAAATTTTAAATTGGTCCATAATCGTCTTATCTTTTTGGCTACATTCAAGGAATTGCTGTGTTATATATGTGTGAGATGTTATATTGCGTTCCTGGCGTCTGAGAATTTAAAGAGAAAAAAGGAATTTTTTTTTATTTTGGGAAAGTGTTTATTATGCTATGTCGATTGTTTAATATGGATTATTGTTGATAATTTGTAAGAGTATTGTTATGAAGGGCGAGGAAAAAAAAAAGAAAAATATAATATAAAATTAATATCCGTATGGATTGATAAGTATGCTGTGTACGAAGCAACCCTATGTAGTAGGGCAGCATTACTTTTAATAAAGTATTTCTCTATAAATAATTAGGTATTAAAGTTAATTCCAAAGTATTGTCATGTAACTTTTTAGAAAACTAAATTAGTGAGTAATTCGATAGATCTTCTCTTGTGATATTCCTCTACCATTTCATTGTACTTGTGTGAAAAAAGAAGTGAAATACAAAAATATTTCATAGATACGTTTATAACCCTAAATATATTTACTGTAGTTTAATAACTCTAGATCTCATAATATATTTAAATATTTAGATATCTATCGTCCGTTTATTCCGAAAAATCATCATGTAACCTTTTAGAAAATTAAATTAGTGAATAGTTTGATAATTCTTCTTTTTGCGATATTCCAACAGAATCCACTTACAATTAGTGTGACAACTTTTGACCTGTCTATGACAGACACTGCAAATCTCTTAATTCCGTTTTAATAAACTTTGCAATGGAAAATAACAGTTTAATGACTTATAGTCGTACAATCCATAATCAATGGATCGAACAATCCATAATCAACGAATCGTACAATCCATAATCAACCGGTGATATAATAAATAGGACTTTTGTTATTTTAATAGCATTTGTGTTTTTTTAGCTTTAGCTCAGTTTAAAATGCAATTTAAAACATTTTATAATAGCCTAACATGGCCAGAAAATAATTTTTATTCAAAGTTCAAAGAGTAAGTGAAAGTTGTGTATTGCGCGCACCAGATTTTTTTTTTTTTTCTGAGTAATAGATAAAATTGATGCCTATGTCATTTTACGTTTACCAATCCCTAAATTCCCTCCAAATTTGAGCCAAATCAAATTTTCAGTTTTAGAGATATAGACGTATCAAGGTAAACACGTTTACGCATATATAAGAGAAAGCAATGAACAGAATTCAATAAAATTGAGCCCACATTATTTTTCAGAAATTCCTATCTTTTATCCAACTTTGAATCAAATCTTTATTCCAAATATAGGCATATCTACAAAAATGCGTTTCCGCGAGAGTAAGCAGGAGTGCTGGTTAGAATTTAATAAATTTAATATGGGATCATCTTGACACCAACCCGCACAATTCCTGAAAATTTCATGAAAATCGGATAAACGGTAGTAGGTGATATGCCCGTTACATGGATTTGACTACAGACAGACAGGAAATTTTCGAATCAGAGTACAAAATTTTTTTTTAACCTCTCGCACAAAGACAATGCTTCCCTACCTTCGGTAGTGAGGAAGCAAAATGGACATGGTGTTTTTACTTCTAGGGACAGAATTTCATTTAAAAAAAAAAAAAAACATTTATATAAAAATTAAAAATCTGGTGAGTTAGTTGGGACTAGTTTGGACAAGATTTCTAACTTGTCCTTCATAGACAGATAAATACTGTTTAAGAAAACGTAAAAGGATTAAGGGTGATGTGGGGTTACCTATTTATAAAATCATGCAAGGTTAACTTAGATGCGTTCATTTTAACGAATTTATCACTACTTGCCAAACAATATTTATAACGGATAGTATTAGTATTAGTAGCATCATATTAGTTATAATATGAAGCATTAGCCATATTAGTTTGATTGAAAAAATCACACAAACTCTGTGCTAGGGAAGCACTTTAAGAGAACTATGAACAACCTGAAAGACAGCATCACACAACCGATGTGTTCCAACATAAATAAAAATTTATAAAACATTCATTTTTTGGATTCATGCAAGGTTTAAAGACGTTCTGCCACACTGTGCTTCGGTGGCAGAGAAGCAAAAGAAACAATTTATTCGAAAAATGGTAAAAGTGGTTTTAGGTAAATTTGAATGCAGCATAAAAGAAAATTTCGACTCAAAAAATTATAATGTGGTTTGGGATCCACTCATTACATCAAAATGTTACTTCCTGTTAAAATGGTCCTCATGATGCATTTTAGAATTGGAAATGAAAGTGATTTACTCATCCTAGTGACAATAATGTTGCTGCTAAGATAAATACTCCAAATATTATAAAGCAAAGACTTGAAAGATTTTTCCAAATAAACCAGTTAATTATATACATTGCACTAGTTTCTTTAACCTTAGGAGATGGAACAATAGAATATTTACATTTGCATTTTTATATCCATTAAAATTAATGCTGACAAGTCAAAGTTGTCTTTTCCATTATATAACTTGGGCATAATGCACAGATGTCCTTGTTTTTATTTCTGAATAATAAATTGATTGCACTGAAAACATCTCTATACAACAATTTATATGGTTGTCGTTAAAAAAAAAAATCTTTTTTCAACTTACAAAGAGAAAAAAACAATATATCTTATCAAAAAAATGGTTAATTTTACTTCTTTGATCGTCAAAAATGTTGGAACTATGGAATTCAATCGAAAAAAAGAAAATGGATTCAAAAGATATTTCTGGTCCATCGGAACCGTCAGTTTATCCGAAATTTTAAATTCCTATAATGACTCTAAAAGGTGTACAAAAACGTTTTTTGAAGCTTTAAGGTATCGCATAGCCCATTTTCAAGCAAATCAAAGGTTTTATCCGTAAAATTTTAGTAAATCTGTTTAAAAGATGGGCCCTGTAATAAGACCCGAAATTAGATGTTTTTAAAAATATTTTGCTGCCCAATTGTAAATTTATTGATCTTATTATTTGAATAATACATAATAAGTATATTGTTTTCAGAAGTTTAAAAAACTATACAAAAGAAATTATAATAGCCAATCTTTTTAGAAAATTTATTTTTGGATTTTTATTATTAAAGAAATTTACTATGAACTTAAATTAAATGATAAATACTACAGGTAAATATGAACAAGTGACATGACATGTACAACATGAAGAGAAACTACCCATTGGTAGCACTCCAATTATATTTGTCTATTAGAAGGTCCCGAGGCCATCTTCTTTTCAAACGCCTCGGAGGGTTATCAGAAATAGAAGAGGAAACAAGGTTAGAAACAAGAGAATTCAGATGGTTCAGAAGTTTATTATGAAAGGACAGTTATCTGGATTGAGCTAAATCGGAAACATATGGTACATTAAGGTCATTATGGATGATTTTATTTGCGATAAAGTAGGAAGCATTAAGGATTTTACCGAGGAATTTGAATTGGATACGAGAGATTGGTTTGATGGTTTAGTAGAGCCCCAAAGCTTGATTAAATTTTTAATGTTGCTAAATTTTATAAAGGCAACCATTGCAAAACTTCATTATATTTTATTAACAAAAGGGCATCAAATGTTGATATAAGGTGTTATGTGAATGTAATACCCAAAAATGTCATCCTTCCACGGGCCGCTTTAGATGTTTTTAATATTTGAATTATTGTTGTTATAATTATTCAATATTGTACAAAATATAACATTTGCTCTGTCCTTTAGTTGTTAAAAATGTATAATTACTATTGAAATATTTAAAATCAAGCAAAACATATACATATATATCGCCAGTTTATTGATAGAAGTTAATTAGTAACATTTCATAAAACTAAAACACTAACATGGGAAGGGTATGCACTTGGCCACCAATTTCAATGAATCTTTTGGTGGTTCTAAGTTCTGAATACAAAAATATTGGACCCATTTAGTTCTAAGAGCGGAGAAAGAAAATCTTTCATAAAATTTTAACTTTTTTTTTATTTATGTTTTCTGCCGTTATTTTTCATGGATATTTACAATATAATATAGCAATCGATTTGCTATCGAAAAATATTAAACACATGTTCCGGCTTTCGTTTAATGGTTTATAGAAGCCGAGAAACAAAAACATATTTTATATAATTTCATACAAAATTTATGTTATTTATTTTTACCTTCATCCTATCTTATTGATACTAATCGATTTATTATTTTTTTTTTTTATCCAGAATAAGAAAAAAATATTTACTATGACTCGAAAACTTCCTAAACGAGAATTTGTATAGCAAACGAAAAATCAAAATTTATTGCAGGATATTTTGTCCTAGGTTGGACACTTCGAAATTTGGTCGAAAACCACAAAAATGCAATCCCCTAACTTCTAAACCAACAAAACCTATTGTTACATACATAAAATAATTACAGTTCCTGTACACTTTTTTATCCTTTAGCAAGCTTTAATGGACCACTTAAACATTGTTTTATACAATTTCTTTTTTTCTTTAAAAGTAATTAATATTATTAAAAGTCTAAAACGCGCGATCACACACAAACCCACTCCCACAGATATATAAGTTGATATCTGTGTTATATACCATTTTATATGTTAAATATAGAAAAGTTTTGTGACCGTGTCATATTTTACATATACAAAAAGTGACGGATCGTAACGAAGACACCAAACTTTTCACATGTAAAACAGAAATTCGGAAACGAACTATGGTTTCCCACACAGCAGTTGCCAGGAGTCCCTGTCTTGTTTAATCATGTATTTCCTGGTTGTTTTTTCGCTTATAAATCCCTTCTGAACATATAGGTCCACGAATACGATTGAGAACTTTTCTTTCTAATATTTGGAGGTATCTTTGCTCAGCCATAGTTTGCATTTCATATGCATTCATTTTCTTCATAATTAAAATAAATCTGAATAAATTTCTATATAGTATGCTAACGACTCTCTAGGGATAGAAATATTGCTATAAATAAAAAAAATGAATAAATAATGTGATTCTGCAATAAAAGAAAACCTTGGGTTGGATATATATATAAGAATGGTAGAAATCCTAAGGAGATCACAGTACAGCTCCATAGCAAAATGAATCAGTGGTTATTCCTCATCGTGTTAGTCACATGTGTATCCTATGGATACGGGGTAAGTAGTCCATGTTTTTTTTTAAATTTAGCAAATATTGTTTAAAGATCAAACACGAAATTACAAGGTGAAGAGCGTAGCCAGTTAAAAAAAAATCTTTTAAAAATTATCTTCATCATTATAACTTTTATTTTTCTTTCAAAATATTTAAATACTAACACTTAACCTGTAGTTGCCAATAAGATTTTTTGTTTTATTTTTTCAATAGGTTTCAGTTTGTATTTTTTATGTTTATTTTAACTCGAAAGATTATTTTAAATTCTATATATATATATATAAAATAAAATTAATATAACAAATTACAACAGTAAAATTCTAATATTAGGGCTGAAAAGTAAAATAATAAGACAATTTTTTTCTTATCTCTAACCTAAACATGTCTAAGGGGCCCAAACACATATTTTCGAGAAAAAAGTATGGCAAGAGTTCAATCCTCAGCTATTGAAACGGCTGGAAACGACTAAAAAAGATTTTCATAACTCTATTTCAATTTTGAGTATTTTTTTTTTTTATTTTAACTCTTTTGTATTCTCTGTAGCTCGAAAAGTAAAACGTCAAATTTGGAAATATAATAATTTTTTTTTTTTGGGGCGATTGCAAAGATTCCCTACTGAAAATAATGAACAAAAAAAATTCTGTAGAACTTTGACGTGCTGTAAATTCTGCCATGAGGAGCAGATAGGAGAAGATACCTCTTCCTGGTTGCCATCCAATCTCAGAAATACATCTAGATAAGGGGTTCTTTAATTTATGTTGTCTGCGAAAGTCCTCTTGGGCGATTTCGTTTTTAAAACCTAACCACAAGTCTTACTATTTTACATTTTGCGTTCTTTAACCTTCACTGAGCTTCCAACGCAAAGGTCCCGAGTTCGAACCCCCCCGGCTCATGGTAGAAAATTTATTTATCTGTTTCATTGGCCGTGGGGCTGACCTTGGGTCAGGAGTCCCTACTTGGGCACATCCAGCCTCTATAAAGTGGGTACCCTTAATTAAATAATTAATTAGGGGGGGAAACCTGGCGGTTGAGCGTGATCTCGATTAAATCACCTCCTTGCACAACCGTGGACCTAGAAACAGTGCGTTCCCTAAAATACTACTGAACCCCAGACCCTTTATGGGTTGTAGTGGTACAGGTTCTTTAACCTTAATTTCTGGTAGACTACTCTCTTTGGTATTACATTACAATAAATTATGATCTATCTATATAGCTGGTTATATAGAAAAATAGTCCTATGCGTTAAAAAATATTTTCAAAGGATTATAATTCAGGACATGAAAAAAATAAGAACAATGAAATACCTATTTTAGTTAAAAATGAAATATAATTTTATATAAATGTGATAATTTTATGAAATAAGTTATCTGGATAAAAAGGAATTGTTTGAGAAAATAAGATTAATGTCAAAATCGTGCAGTAATCTAGACACAATGCAATGTTCTGTATATTACATTTTAAATCAGATCATAATATTTTAAGCTTTTTATGTTGTGTTTTTGTTTAGAAATTCATAATATTCTAGTGTTTGCATTTTTTAAAATAGTTTTATATTAATTTATTTATTTTTTAAATATTTTACGTGTAGATATAATAATAAACTTCAAAACATAACTTTTCCAATTTCACGAAAATTTTAATGATTATTATTATTTCTTAATATTTAAACTGTAAACATTATTCATTGCATGTAATTTAATTTTAGCAAGATAATGCTGAAGAAATACAAAAGCTGAAGGATACGATCTTTCGCGGTTGCGCAAAACAATTTAATTTAGAGGACGGTAAGTCTACATTTTATTTATAAATGTTAATTCAAATTTGATTTTTTTGTTACAATTAATTTTATATTATGGCATAGTGCGTTCTGTTTAATATTGTTTCCTCATTGATGGATTGACTATTGGTGTATTGACTTTATTCTCCAATCAAATATTAACATTTTGTTTTAAATATTGAAAAAGTAGCCTAAAAATGATACGATTTTCCATACCGACACAATTACAAAAATAGATACGTCAGTTGGGTTTCAAATATAACGAGGGTATTAAAATTGTAAATTGAAAAAAAATATATTAGTCAACATGAAAATCTTGGCTTCATAAAGACAGATGATAACGATACTTTCCAAAACATTCAACCTAAGAAATTGCCCCAAGCGATAGGAAAAGAGAAAAATGATAAAACTGATGGAATTAAATTTTGAAATGTAAATAATATTCATAATTCATAAGTTGCTAATATGGCTGGTGTTCCAGAACTAATATATGGTCCCTCACAACCAACCAAACCAATTTTCATACAGAAAACTGCTACGAATGAAGACAGTGAGTCTTCTTCATATGAAATAAAATGGGGTCAAAAAAGGTACTCCTAAGAAAAAGAAGCATTCAAAGAAGAGAAAGAAAAAAAAAGAAAGGAGCTCTAGGATTTGAAGATTGAAGAGAGTTCCTTCGATTTTTTTTATTATTTTTGAATTGTAAGAAACAAATCAAAATTTCTCAGGTGGGAGTTATGTTAGGAAGTCAATAAAAAGTGATTTTTATTATATAAATATTTAAATGATTTCACATTGTTAAAAATATTCATATGTGAATAATTATTATTGTTTAAAAAGTCTTAAAGTCTCAAATTTTAAAATCTCTTCAAAAGTTTCTGTTGAAATAAAAGTGAATCTATTTCAATTTCAGAGTTCTCAACTTTATTTTATTTGAACCTAGGGATCAAATATAACGGTTAGTTATATAATGGCTCTAAACGGAACTCTATGTATATATTTCTATGTATCAAATGTTTATGTCAACATAAAAAGTCAATACTTTGTCATTACTTACTTGTGATATTTTTTCTTTTCAGGAGGTTTTGCTTTTTCTTTCTATATATGTAATGTTTATCCATTCAAATTATAAGTGTTCTTGAGAAGATTTTATTTTATTTTTTACATGTTCAAATATTATTATTTAAATTATTGTATATATTGTTAGAATCTTTATTAATTTTTTGGCCAGATATGTTTTTATGACGAGGTTTTCATTGTCTATCGTCGATAAAATAAATACAAGTTATGTTATTTTGTTACACTTGATGAGTTTTTGCATTGTGAAGCATGACATTCATGTTTTCTATTAGATCCAGTAAAAGTGCACTTCAAAAAGTTTTTCTAATAACCCGATTTCACCAAAAAATAATTTCTACTCAAAGCAGGTTGAAAAGTATGTGATGCACTGTTTTTTATTCATAAGTAGTTAATGTACCGTTCTTTTTTTTTTTTAGCTGCTTTTGACGATCTGTACCACGCAAGAAGCGTAGACAAAATAAAAGATAAGGTTAGTATCAACTATAATCATCATTAATTTTATCTTCCTTTTTTTTCACTTATCAACCGCTAAGAAACAAGAAATAATAATAGGAAAAAGTATTGCGACCGTAAAAATTTTCGATGTGCTGATTTTAACCGATCTTTACGTTTCAGAGCCCCTTGAGTCCGGAAAGAAAGGAAAAAATCTGTTTTTCCATAGATTTTAGCATCGAAACGCCGTTTTTTTTATTTTTAAGTGATTTTCCTGCTGTGTATTTAACAAAGCTCTGTTAATTTTATACGTTTAGTACATTCTCAAGGTAATGTAACAAAACAATCGTTTTCCTTACCTTTCTGAAAAAAAATAAAATTATGATTAAGTGAAGTGTATATAGTCCGTGGTATACAGACCCATTTTTATCAAAGTATTAACATCCGCTTGAAACTTCGTAAATAGCTTAATCTCATCGTAACCTACAACCATTTTATTTACGAAAACTGTCGGAATTGGGGCGTTTCAATCTGGAGGGGTCCAAACTTTATATATTTAATAAGGTACTAAAATCACATAAATACCCATTTGCTTTCCACTTGGTTCGTCAGATAATAATGAGCACAAAATCGAGAGAAAATGTGACCTTCAAAAATATTGAGCCGTTTGACCTACAGCCCCAACATTTTAAAATAACGAGGTTATAAATACCAAACAGCCCAATATTTTTGTAGACCACCTTCTTTTCTCGATTTAATGCTCAAATTACATTACGATTCAAGTGAAACGCATTTCGGTATTTACTAGTTTTTAGTACCTAATTAAATATGCAAAGTTTGCCGACCTCTAAATTGAAAACGCCCCAATTCACAGTTTTCGAAAATAAAATAGTTGTAGGTTACGATGATTAAGCTATTTACGAAGTTTCAAGCGGATGTTAATAATTTGATAAAAAGGAGTCTGTACCACGGACTAATAAAGTTAAACTTTACTTTATTTTTTTAATCGAAATATTTTTAGCGATTTAAATTTGTCTTGGAAACATCGAATATTTTATAAATAAATTACATTAATGGACCTGATTGAAAATATATTGAGTTGAATTATATCCTATACCAGTTGTTGGTTGCTCATCACAAAGAGCGAAGGAGATTCAGATTCCTCAATAAATCCATGAGTTGTAATAAATTTATGATTTGAGTTTTAATTTCTTCATCGTTCGGTAATGAACATTTATACGGTCGACATGTAATGTATGCCATTTCTAAGTAATTTTATTTCTGCTTCTTATGACCGCACTTTGCCAATATTAAATTCATTTTTGGCAAACGCTTGCCTATATTTCTCAATCAATTGTAAAATGCTTTGTTTTGTTTATTCCTAACTCAGATCACTTACAATATGTTGTAAGATAGAAATAAATTCAGTTACATTTAAAGATTCATTGAAATTTAATTCAACATTTTCATCTGACTTTTTAACGTGATCTAGAGTCTGTATCTGGTCATCATTGGATTGTATCAACGGAGTTGTCTGTAGATATATTTCTTTCTATTAATTGCTTTCAAAATTAGTATTTTGACAATTTTTTAAACGAGCATTGGGAATTCGCTTAACTCTCTCAATAATGCCTATGTCAAGTAAAATACATAAGAGAAATCATCATTCATAACCACATAAGACATAAATTTTGACACTCATGTGTTGTTAACTACGTTTCACATTGGTTATAATAACATGGTTCCGACGATATCAGGTTGTATTTATAGTAATTACTAAATAAATCTTTGTCAAAAATGGACTCACGCCACTTTAAAATAAAACGGCTCATATAGTCCAAATCTGCTTATTTTTTTAAATAAGCGTTTACCTTTTAATTTAATTAAAACATGAGCTATTTATTCACATATTTTAATACTAATTATTATTGTATTATATTTTCAGTGTGTTTTGAAATGTATATTGGACAAATACGGCCTCGTAAGTATTAAATGAATTAACCAGTATAAGTTCATAAGTTTATAGTAACAATAAATAATTATTCTGTAGTAAAAAATTGTTATTTAAGTAATTTTTCATTTTAAAATACTTAAATATGAAATTGCACTTATTGTTTTCGTTACAGACTTCTTTTTATCAATTTATTAACTTCTGTCTAAAATTTCGTCAATGCCTACATCTAAATTTATTTACGATAATTCTCAGAAATAGGGTTATAATGAAATTCGTCAATGTATACCCATTTGCTTTTCATTTGGATCGTAACTTAATTTGATCACAAAATCGAGAAAAAAAAAAACGGCCTACAAAAATATTCGGCTGATTGACCTATATAAACATGTTGAAGGTGGAAATCACGCTGCCAAACGACTCAATATTTTTATAGGTCACCTATCTTTCCTCGATTTTGTGGTCGAATTAACTTATGATTCAAATGGAAAGCTTGAAATGAACCATCTTTAGATTGAAAACATCCCATTTCCGAGATTTTTGTAAATAAAAAAGTGAAAGGTTGCAATATGACGAAGCCAATTACGAAGTTTTAGACGTATGTTAATCATTTGATAAAAAATCGTTACCAGTTACTATTCATTCCATTTTAACTATTTGTATATGATATACATATAAATATATAAAGTAGGTATAAAAAAAATATATTCCATTACAAATGCACATAATTAAATAGTTCAATATAGAGACTATAAAGTTGCAATCCATAATGAATATTGACAAAAAAAACTTTTTTTTTATAAATTATGAAAATCTTTTTTATTAATTTCGAAAATGTATAATTTTAATATAGTGATTGAATGCGATTTTGTATTCCATTCCAAAATAATTGTGTTTAAGTAAAGTTTAATCTAGTAAATCATGACATATTTGTCAAAAAATTTATAGTTATAAATGAATATAATTTTAGATAAAAGGTGATAAATTAGAAGCAGAGAATCTTTCGAAGTCTCTTGCGGGGCATTGGAAAGATAAAGCGAGAACAAATAGAATAATTCAGGCAACCTTGGATTGCTTCAAAAAAGGTATTGCATTAATATTAATAAAATTATAAGTTGCTATTTATTATTTTAAGATGGCATTATAAGTAAAATTTAATTTATTTAAGGCAAGTTGTAATAAATGCAAGAGTAATTGTTTTCCTTTTGTATCTGTGCGATTTGACAAGGTGAAATATTTCTAATAAGGCAATATTTATCTCAGGATATTTACAAATTAAAAAAAAAAATCATTTATCAACCACTATAAAATATAGGTAAGAACATACACAAATTTTATGTATCCAAGTTGAAGAGAGTCGTAGAATACTGGTAAATTTGAAATCCATGCTCAAAGAAGAGTTGAGGGAGAAAAAGTGGAGATTGATTTGCTGTGGACAAGAGTTCCTACGCCGAAGATCGTCCAATTGTAGCCAAACAGATCCTTGGATTTCACCCAAGATGTAGTAGATCACCACATAGTGGGATGAGGACAGCATCTAATCCACTAACAAAAAGAATGAGACGTGAAATAAATATTTTACGGCTCTTGAAGTCGAATATAATATAATAATATATATATATATATATATATATATATATATATATATATATATATATATATATATATATATATATTATTATTATTATTATTAGTTTATTACTCTTTCATTTATTTTATTTTATTTTTAATAGATTTAAGTTAGAAGATTTTTTTTTCCATTATACCTATTAGTTTACTCTGTAAATACAGTTATATATATCTGAGGCTCAAAAGCCCTCATTTCTGTCCTTGTTAACGACGCACTAGACGTACCTAAGAGTTCCACTCCACGTCTACCCCACTACCTAAGAAGGCGAGAGCAGAAGATGATACATGGAAGAAAGAAAAAAAAATTGGAAGAACGAAAGGATGGGTGATATCGAAAGTCCCATCAGAATCTCTTCTTTCAATGAATTAAGGAGGGGAGACCCGTCTTAAAGAGACCCAAGAGTCACTTCGTGCAAATATGAGGCAGGCAATCTTTTGAGAGGAAAGGGTGACAATTTAAGGATATGAGTGAGGAACTTTAAGAGGACAGTTCAAAAAAAGGTCAAAAAGTAATAGACGATAATCAATTTGAAGCAGCCATGAAGAAAATAAAAACCAATAATGGACAGAAGAAGAAGAAGACCATCAGTGAAAAAGAAAGAATTCTCAACGAATGGAATAAGGAAATGGAAATTGTATGTCTACTCAACACAATGTGCTTTCGAATATCCTCTTCGAAAGACCTTTTCCTTATTCTGAAAGATAGGTAAATACTAGTCAGGGTTCAGAAGAGCTAAATCCACCACCTGCTAAATATTTTCTCAAAGAATGATATTAGAGAAGCGTAAAAAATATATCGACCGCCACATTGCAAAAACCTGTAATGACAATTGCTATGGAAAATAATGTTTTGAGCTTTTCCGGTAAATCTTTTCCTGGAGCGTATTCTCATCCAACAAAATGAAATGTACAGCGTTTCATTTCTTCACTACGGCCTTTTGTAAAAACCAGTAATTTAAAAACCAGCTAATTGTGATGTAAAAACTGTAAGTTACGGTGAAGGTTATAGAGATTGAGTTGTTACCGAAAAAACGTAATGAAATTCTAACTTAAAGATAGTAACGTAAACACAGATTGTATGAAGTGTTGTGTGCATAGACTACAGAATCAGTCAGCTTTATTAATAAGCTAAATTTAATTTTTTTTTCATACGCTTTGTATTCTTTTCTTGAATTTTTAATAAGTGATACGCACTTCCAGCCCGGCTCCTCTGGGTAAATGCCTGGATTCCCCTTCTCAGAGGAGGCACTGCTTACCATGGAACTAGACGAAGCAAAGAAGAGAGTAGTAAGTGAGGAATATAATATTAAACGGTATTCAAAACATGAAATTAGCTTAGCTGAAAAGAAGCTACAATGCCGCCGAATTCCAGAATCAGAATTAGAATTAAAATCAGAGAAATTATTGGAAAATTCAATATGTGGCGAACAAAGAATTCTGGTTTCATCTTTTCAAACCAATACATCTTTGAAATCGCAAGAAGTTCAGAAACGAAGTGATATACATATTAGAAGGTTAACTGGAACGTACTAAGCATTCATGAATCAAAGCATGTCCACATGAAGTTGAGTAGGTTAAAAATTATTTTTTTATAAATAACTACAAAATATGGGGCATACACTGCGTTGGAGCCTTCCCTATAGTGAGAAAAAAAAATTGAATAACCCGTGTGATCGAATAACTCCCTTTCCTGTCAAATTTTCTACAAATATTCATTTGAAGTATCGTTTCTCTACATTTTGGAAACTGACTTTTTTCCTGTCATGCCTTGATTATTTTGACAAAAATGTGGGTGTTATTACAATAAATTTGATTGCTTTTACTTAATTAAAATCTGTTTTTTTCAAAATAGTTAAAAATCTGTAGTAGTAAGTAATTACTGTAAGCTGAAGTTAGAAGTAATGGCTCTAAAAGATTATTTGGCAGAAATAAGACCTAGAAAAAAACAGAAATGAGAACAAGAAACTTACATAGAGCATTAAATATTTATCTTAAGCCTGCAACAAAAATTGAACCGAAAATATAATGCTCATAGAACAAAAGTTATGCAGTTTTTTTTTGTCTCTTGAAATTATTAGCTTTTGTTCTTACAGGCTTTTGCATTGTGGCTACCGATATAATCATTACCTCTTCGTAGATTTTAAAAATGCTTACGGCAGCGTAACGCGATCTACCAGATCTACTAAACCCTTGAGGAAACTAATGTTTCCAAAAACCTCATACGACTGGTGAGAATAACCATGTCGTGTTCAACGTATCCTTTGACAAAGACAAAAGTTAAGCGAAACACTTCCTGCTAACTCTTTTGAGGCAGAGGATAAGACTAAAATAGCAATCTACAAGGTCTGTAAAGGTGTTCATTTAAATAATATAAAACAAAAACAAACAGTGAGAATTAAAATTGTTTAATAAATTTTGATTTATCAAAAAACAATTTTGATGAAATTATTTATTTAATTCACAATTCTTAGCTTACCTTATTTAGAAGTTGAGAATATAAGTTTAATTGACAATGTTTATTTGATGAAAATACATTCGATTTGATATACCGCTAATATTAGTTCAAAAGATCGTATTAATTTTTTTCAATTTTTATTTTATTTGAGCTAAAGGTGACATTTTGTAGTCTATAACTGTTATAAGTAGTATGTTACTTTGGAAAGTAGCAGAGAAATTATACTAAAAAATAATCAGATTTGATGCTCTATTGTAAAAAAAACACAATTTTTACGCACAACCTTTAGCATTATAATATGTACTGTAGCTCGTAAATCAAACATTGAGCTTCTTCTAGAAATTACTTCTACGTTATTATTAAATTATTCTCAACAACAACAACAGCAAAACTGTCCGTATTGAAAATAAAAGCTACATTTATGAAATGATACATTCATTATTTTAATGTTTTGCTAACACAAAATTAACTTAAAATGAAAATGAAATGGGATTATGCTAACTAATCTGCTAATAAGTCATAATCGTAATTTTAATAAATAGTAATTTTTTATTGTTTACAGTGCCAGAGAAACCTGATATATGTGCAATGTCATATGATGCATTTTTTTGTTTCTTCGATGTTGTACAAAAGGTATGTATATATCTTGTATATAATTTGGTTGATATAGAAAAATAAATACTTTACAGGATCATTCATTTAATATTAATAAGAATTCACCGCAATACACATTCTTTCTATTTTTATAAAAATATTTACATATTAAAATGAAACCAAATCTGGTGATCTAAATTGATGCCTATGTTTATTCTATTGTTTATCACTATCATAATAGTACTTATATTTATTACTTCATTTGTAAATATAATTTATTTTTTGTTTCAGGAACACACTGAATACGGAGATGGATCAAATTAAAAATTTATGTTTATATAATGTTATATGTTAAATAGTTATTATCCAAATTTTAGTATAATTATCTTATATTAATTCATGTTCCATTACAAATACATAAGCCATTATGGAAAGAAACTGTTAAATTTCAAACTATTTTATAATATTATAAATTGTTAAATGGACCAGTGTACGAAACTAAATTTATAATAAAAAAATCTGTTTTAAACAATCAATAATATAGGACATGTATAAATAAAATTTATAAAAATTCCAATAAGTAATATTGTATAATTTTTTTTTACCCTTTAGAACCTATAACAGAACAGTTGACTACAGCAAATCTAATTCATAATAATACCTACAAAATAAATAAACATTTAGATCTATTAAAATAGATAGTCAGTATTTATATAATGAAGTATATATTTTTCAAAAATACATTTGAAAAAAAAAATTTTTTTCCTACTCACCAGGAATTTCTTTATTACAAAATACAATATATAAATTGAAAATATATATATTTGAAGAGATTAATATAGCTTTTTCTACGTTTTTTACATCGAGTAAACAAAAAAAAAAACTAAAGTGTGTGCTTTAGACCACACGATAGAAGTTAAAATATCAACAAGGCGAGATTCACAATATGAAATATAAATTATAAATAATAGCTCATTATAAAGAGAATGAAATGGTGAAGATTTCCCTCTGTTACAGTAGGTACATCCAATTTTTAGTTTTTGAGGTATTTTAATCCATATCTTCAATAAAAACTCGTGATCATTTGGCTTTAGACATTATCTTTCTCCCTTTTCTTCTCTCTATCAAGATGTTGGGTTAAGATAAAATTTTGAGTAATAGCTCATTACATAGAAGATGAAATGCTGAACATTTCTCACTCTTATAATATACAGATCCGATTTTTAATATCTAAAATATTTCAATACATATGTTCAACTAAACTCGTTATCATTTGGTTTTGGACACGATTTTTTACTTTTACTTATCTATATATGAAATAAATAGTAAGGGAAAGTATTGAGATCGTGAAAATTTTCGAATCTGAGTTTCAACGGAAATAAGTGTTTTGAAGTTCCCTGAGTCGAAATAATCAAGTCCCGTAAAATGGTCTGTGTTTGTGTGTGTGTGTTTTGTGAGTGTTCACAGTCTAGCTCAAAAACGTCGTAAGAAAATGAAATTGCATATTTAAGGTTTTTATATACTTGGGATGTTACAGCAACCTTTTTAGTCAAAATCGGCTTACCGGAAGTGGCGCTTCATATTATGGACTAAACATATTTTTACGAATTTCTCGAAAACGGCTCAAACGATTTTGATTAAATGTATTATATCAGTGTAAAATTAATCAGTTTTAAATAATATGTAGTTTTATCCTGATTGATCTTCTCTAACAGGGCTTAAATGGCTAACTTTCAAGATTAGATTCTTCTAAAGTACCTTTAATTTTTTTTAAATGAAACAATTGACCATTTTACATTAATCTCTAATATAAAAGATAGTTAAATATAAAGTATGTAAGAATTTGATAATTAACTAAAGGAGAAATAAGAGATCGTAACGTAGAATAGATGTAAATTAGAAACCAAAGGAATACGAACGCACCCGATCTCACCCGAAAGATTAGAACACGCTTCCATACTTATCATGAGATATTGATTGATCAGATCCTGTAAGCAGCTCTTTATTCGTAATAATCCTCCATTTGTTAGTAATCTGATCCCCGATAGCTCCAATTACCATGCAGAGCATTTTTCTCTCAAATATTTCTCCTACACTATTAAGCCTATACATCTCAGACCTCCCTTCCATTCTTTCAGTAGAATACTCCTTATATGCAGATGATACAGCTATTTACACCTCTTCTTTCAGAATCGACACTATAACTAACAGGTTACAATCCCAATTCATAAAACTCTGCAAGTATTTTGAAAAATGAAAAATATAAATAAATGATAAAAAGACTGAAGAAATTATTTTTACAAAAATAAGACCTCGCATAAACCATAATATACACATAAAATATATGTCTAACTCCGTGAAATATTTAGGACTAGAACTTGATATATCCCTATATTTCACCCAACATATTAATAACAAGTGCAGTAAAGCAAAAAACTTGATCAGCAAAATGTCACCATATTTTAATGGATATTCACAATTTACTATAAAAAATAAACTGATTTTATATAAAACAGTGATCCGCCCTTTGATCAGTATGGAGTTACACATGCAAGACTAATTACAGAAAACTTGAAGTGATTCAAAATACATGTATGAGAATCATAAACAATTACCCACGTTATACCAAAATATCTATTATGCTATCGGATAACATAATAGATATTTTGGTAATTACATATTTATATTCCTTTGTACCATAAATATAAATGGTATTCGTGTTTATATTTTTGAATATAAATATGCCCATCTCTGCTGCCAAGTAAGGTCAGTATAGCTTCCTCGCTGTTTTCATTGTCTAAAAAATATCTATATTACAAGGTCTAAAATTTTTTGTATGAGAATAGAATCTCTGGAAAAAGCCGTTTTCGGAAAATCAGTAATCCATCAACATATACGGGTCTGATATCCACGAGTTTCATTCATCAGCGAATACTGAAATGCGAAAGAGATCCGTATTTACAGATTGTTTACTTGATAATTCGTAATAATGTATTTCCATTGAAAACTCATCATCATCATCATCATCATATGTGGCATGTGACATCCCATTACCGAGACTAGGCCTCCTCCAAGAGCGACGCTTGGTTATTTGAACTCAGAGGACCTCAAAACATGTATTTCCGTTAAAAACTGAGATTCGAAAATTTTCACGATCGCAATACTTTCTCTTACTATATATTACATATATGGGTAATTTAATGTAAAATTGTAAGTCGTGTGAGGCGCCCACCGCTTCAGATCTTTCTTCCTTCCATCATATGTTTTTATATCTTAAAATCCTATTAGGATGCCATTTTTAATCATTGAACCAGTCTTAATAACTAGTTGATTAACTTGAAAAATAAATCAGATTTTACTAGATTTTGCCGAATTTTAAATAGACTAAAATGAATCATGTCGTAAATACCAAAGATCATGTATTTGCCTGCTTTATATCTTACTCTTCGCTAAAATAACATTGAAAAAGATTCGAAACGCAGTCCGGTGTGACCACACTATATAATGAAAAGACCAAACCTTGACTATTATCAGATCGGAAAAGATTTGACGATTGTTACTTCCTTGACATTGTTTTAAGAATTTCACATCTACCTGAGATCGTAAACAAGTGATATCCCGTTGTGCGTGATAGTGTTATTTGTCACAAAGATATCTAAGATATATTTGAAGCTTTGGAATCACAGTCTGTTGAACTCATTAATGACCATGTAATTTACTGCTAAAACAATTTGTATGTATAAACAGGATGTCCCGTAAGTATAGGAGAAATATTTAAAGGAGACATAGCATACTACAAGTGCTACAAAAAATGGTCTAATTTCGGCAGAAAAATAGGAAATTTAAGTTTTCTGGTTTGTGTCACGTTTCTTGATGAATTATTAGGAATCGATTATTATGAAGCGATAACATAAAAAAAAAGCAATTTAAGCAATTAGCAACTGCTTCACAGCAAACTATAAAAAAATTACTTCAAACATAAGTAGTGCTTGTCATTTTTAAAGCCACTTAACGAAGACGTTTTAGCGGATAAACGAAGCTTAGTTCAGTTTTTAAAAAAATCATAAATTAATTGCAATTTTATCACAGTCAATTAATAATTAAGTCCATAGATAGATAGAAAAATAATTTTATCTGGAGCGAAGTCCCTTAAGAATAACACAGTGTTACAGAAAAAAAAATAACAACATCTGACCAGAAAAACTGTCACATTAAAAAATATATAGATAAAAAGCCTTAAGTTAACAAATTATAATGATTACAAAATACTAGAACTAGTTTGTTTGTTTCGATGTCCAGGCGCAAAACATCCAGGTCATAAGCGCCCGACCAACTAAATAACATCACTTAATACTATTTGGATGGTTGGTACAAAAAATAAATAAATAAAAAACATTAAAAAAAATAAAGAAATGGATTGATAGAATAAAATAAATAAATAAGGATAATAATAGACATTTATAGGTAATAAGATGTATAAAAAATGTATAAATAAATAAACTTTAAAAAATAGCAGTAGAATCAATAAATGAATTGAGATTAACAAACAAATGAATTTAAAATTAAATGAAATCAAATGAAAAAAAGTAATAATAAGAGAAAATAATAATAATAATAAGAGAAAATATAATAAAAATAAATAGATAAAAAAAATTAATAAATAAAAAAATAATAATAAATCTGCAAATTATCATTAATTATAAGCCTGTCATATGTGGTTTCTTCTTTCTAAGTCTTTCACTATCCAGAAACTTGATGACTTTGGTAACGATTTCTTCTTGATTTCCCAAGGATGCTGATATATTCTGGGGTATTCCAAAATCTTTTAATTTTGCGGTGTAAAAAGAGCATTCTTCCAAAATATGTTTCATAGTTAGTGATTGGTTACACTTTTGACATCTGGGGATAGAATTTTTTTGTTATGAGGTGGAGGTGAGTCAGTCTAGTATGTCCGACCCTCAGCCGCGTGAGGACTACCTCTTCTCTACGACTACTGACTGCGTCTGGAGCTGGTCCACGGTTGCACCTCTTTCTTTATTGTTTTTAATTTGCTAGGTGCGTTGTTGTCTCACCGTCTTTGCCATTCATGGAATATGGTTTCTCTCAGAGGTCGTGCAAGTTCAGATGGTGTCAAAAAAAATTTACCGCGGCCTGGAAGAGTAAGAGCTTCTTTTGCTGCTCTATCATTTCATTTCCTTTAATTCCTATATGGCCAGGCGACCAGATAAAATGTGCCGTTGTTCCAACTCCATGAAGCATTTTTATAAGACTTAGAATGCAGTGTATCCCTGGAAAATACTAGAACTATATGCAATACAAATAAGAAAATAAACAAACTATGAAACAAAATGATTCCTCTTTAGCTAAAAAAGATAAAATAAAATAATAAACCAAAGAAAATGTTTAAAAAAAACAACAACAGTTAGTACAAAATAATGTCCTCTAATAAATAGACAAAAAGACTGCTATGAATAAAAGTTAAAACTCTTATTATATGGCCATATATAAAACGGTGTAGTCAAATGAAAGATGAAGTGAAAAAAAATATATATACATATATATATTTATCCGTATATACATATATATATATATA